TTTCTATAAAGAAAAAAATTTGTTTCCGCCACTTTGAAAAGTTTTATAAACGAAAGGACTACAAAGCTTCCTCCACGAGGAAGCAAAATTAATTTTTTCGAAAAGTTATATAACGTAAACAAAAAATGTTTCAAAGGTTTTTTTTTAATAATTATTTTTTCTTCTTTTAATTGGAACAATAAAATAATAAGTGCGGCACTTGACTTGTGTTTTATCACACATAGAAAGGGTGTACATCCATAGAATTCATTGATCCCTTTTATTCTATGAACATCGCCGCACTTTTGTGAGAACTACCATTGTTATATGTATGTGGGAGTAAATAGTACTCCACACATATATATATATATATATATATATATATATATATATATATATATATATACAAGAAAAGATCCAAGTCGAGATAGAAGCAAAGATAACAGAAAAGAAGCGAAACGAGAATGTGACAGAAGCTTCAAAAGAAACCGCATCACAGTAGAAAAGACGATATTCCGAACTTGGATAAAAAAAAGGATTACATATATATACCGCAGTATTGTAAAATGACAAGTATTACCATTTAGGGCATTGTAATACACCGACTGTTTAACTTTTAAAATTTGCGTAGGTCGTGTATATCCAACAAAAGTAGGTAATTACACTTTTGATAAAAATCTTCTTAAAAAAATAAAAATATTTTTCACCGTTTTTATTTTTTTAAAGAGAACACTTAAACTTTTTACTTTTTAAAATATTTTAAATGCGAGAGAAAGTGTTAACTTTAAAGAAAATTAAGAATTCTTTCTTTTTGACTGTTCCATTTTTGATTTGCTTGAAAAATTTTCCCACGCTTTTTAAAATATCTTTAATATTTAATATAAGAATTAAATTTTAACTAAAAACATTTATTTGATTTAAATAATCGGTTACTTGACAATCAAATAAATATTGACTTGAACCAACCAATTTTTATTTGAATTAAATAAACTGTGTTTGAATCAATAATTTCTGTATTTTAAACAAATACTATTTAAATACAAATACTATCAAATACTATCAAGTAAATGTATTTTTGATTCAAGTAAATATTTATTTGATAATAGTTAAGTATTCGATTACTTGAATCAAATAAATTTTTTTCCAGTGTAGAATTCTTTTCATCAGAATATTTGAGAGGAAAAAGAAAATGTAAAACGTTGTAATAAAATAATATTTCTTGTATTCGGTAATAGAAAAAAAAAAAAAATAAATTTCTGATACGTTTTAAGTGAAAGCAATATACTACGATTATAAATTGTCAAGCAAGGAGAATTAAAATCAACTCTTTTCTTTTTTTTTGCGCGCGCACATAGGCGTAAAATTAGATTCGATTTCTAGGTACCATAAAGTAATAATTTTCATTGTTTACAATCGCCTTGGGGTAGAAAATTTTTATTTAAAACAAAATATTTTAACGGAACTTTTTAACGAGACATAATAATTCACCAACTTCAATTATAATATTTAATTAATTATTTAAAAAAAAAGCTATTTTCATCTGTAAATATTTTTTTTAACAAAAATCATCTAAATTAGAAAGGAATATACTTTTTTTCCAATAAAATATATAATTTTCAATTATATATTTCATTAAACGAAAAAGAGGTAGTGAGAGCTGCATATAGCAATAATGCACTCATGGTTCGACGTCTCACTTACCTCTTTTCGTACACGAGAGATCGACTTCATTTTTTTTTCTTCCCTCTCTGTTGTTTTGCCTGTTTTTGCCTGTTCTTTATACAACCGTTAAGAATTGTATATCAATGGCTTTATGCCGGAAATGTCAAAGGTCGCGGCAGAACAAAATGTTTCCTGGTCCATGTGTATATATATATATATATATACACGTATATATTTCTATATACATATACGTTTATATATATATAAAGGCCATAGTAACGAAAATATTAGATTGCACGATTACAGGCGGAGGCTTTTATATGCCTTTGCAAGAAAATCGACGAGAACGAGAGATGAGTGCAATCGTTTTGCCGAGTGTCTCATAAGAAATATGATTTTATCGTTATGATCATCAGGGATGTAGAATTGCTGAGCAAGTTCTTATTCTTACCGCGTTCCTCTCATCTCGCGGCAGCGATTCTCATTTTAAAAAAAGGGCCGCGCTGTACCACTATATATGCGAGAAAGGGACTCTCGACGTTGAATAGTAATTAAGTTCTAGGAAATTCAACATACACATATATAAACAAAATATTCTTGCGTGTATATCATGTGTCTTTCATTTTTCGATTAACAATGCCTTGACTGTACACATAAGGAACACAAAAGAATTGTTAAATTTTTTTTTTCAACCAAATATTTTGTATAAACGAATTTTTATTTAAAAGAATTTTTTTCTAATATTATTTTTATTTAGTCGATTATCTATTTCACAGAAATTTTATTTAATTTCCATTCGACAGAATTCATATTAAACCGAATTTTTTTAAAGCAGAATTTCTATTTAACACAAATATGTTATTTAATCAAATTTTATTAAGCCGAATTTTTAATTAACAGAATTCTTAACTAACATAAGTAGGTATTATTGAGCTAAATTCTTATTTAAAAGAATTGTTATTAAGCCGAACTTCTATTTAACAGAATTCTTATCTTACAGAATTTGTATTGAGCCTAATTTCTATTGAACTGAATTTTTATTAAGCAAAATTTCTACTCAACAGAAAATTTATCTATAATCAAATTTTATTAAGCCGAATTTTTAAGAAACAGAATTCTAATGTAACAGAAGTTTTATTTCGCTGAATTCTAATTTAACAGAATTTTTATTGAGCTCAATTTAATTGAATTTCTAATTAACAGAATTTTTTTTATCAAACTGAAGTTTTATTTGGCCGAATTTTTATTTAAGCAAATTTTTATTGAGCCGAAATTCTATTCTGTTAAAACAGAAATCTTATCTAATCGAATTTTCATTTAGCAGAAATTTTATTAAGCCAAATTTCTATTTCACAGAAATTTTTAACGAAAATAATTTTTATTCAGACAAATTTCTATTATAAAGAAAATTTTTTTTATAATCTTTTTCTATAATTAATAACGATAAAGTACCAGGGTTTTTTTGTATGTTCAAGCTCATGTGCAAATATTAAGAGGTTTAAAATTTTCTCCATAATCATTCTAGGTGTCTGCCTAAGAAAAATTGAATTTTTTTGAAAATTTTTTTTTTTGACGATAAACGCTTTAAAGGTCATAAAAAGGGGTGTTCCTCTACTCGAATTGGGCTGTCAATTTTTTTCTACACTTTTAGGTGTATTTTGTGCAAGAAATTGCAATAAAATAGTCTGCCTAAGAAAAATTGAATTTTTTTGAGATTAAAATATTAAATTACAAATCATTGGTTTTTTTTAAATTCAAAGTGTCGTTGTATAGAAATTTTAATATTCGAAAAATTTCTTCTCTATTTAAAAAAGATGTGGTCAATAAAATTTGATTTATGATTCGAGAATGATTTCATAGAATTTCTTAAGATGTATACCGCATCATTTTTCAACTTGCTTTTATGACAAATAACAAAATGCATTATTTATAAATAGAATTTAAATACAAACGACATTATAATTTGTAATAAAGGAGATTATAAAAATTTAGAAGAAATTCTTTTATCCATTTAGAGAAATTGGAAAATTTTTTTAAATTATTTAAAAAATATGTTTTTTTGTAATTTTTTTTTTTGAAATTAATAATTTTTTCTGGCTTTAGAAATCTAGTGTGTGAAAGTATGATATTTTTTTTTTCAAAGAAGGTGAGACGGAAAAGAGCAGACTATCAATAAAATTTTCCTTTTTTTTTTTTATAACGAGCAACTATATCGTCGAGCGTTTTGTGCAGAGGCGAATCCCTCTTCGTGTCAAAGCAAATGTATTTGCATAATAAAACATCCATCGCTATGATTCATCGATGTATGCGTGATCTGTGCATCAGGGCATCGAACTCTTTATGACTGGGGAACCTGTCTTCGTTGGAGGATCGATGCGATCAGGCGAGAAGTCGAGCAAGTATTATAAAAGATAAGTAAAAGAGTCATGAAAATCAAGAAAAAAGGGGGGGGAGCGAAAAAACAAAAAACACCAATATAAGTGCGTATCGAATCCAAGTTTGTCCTATATGTACACCGAGGAAAAATATTCCTTTGGATTCAAAGAAATCAATTTCTTTGACAAATTTTTCTTTGATTTAAGGAAAATTTATTTGTTTCAAACAAATTATTTTTGATACAAAAAAGATTATCTGCGTTTCAAAGAAATTTGTTATTTAATTCTAATAAATGTTTCTTTGACCCTATATATCGATGTTAGAATTTCTTCGATTTAATGCACAAATTTCTTCCATTCAAAGAAAATTTGTTTGAATTAAAGAAATTTTCTTTGAAACTAAGAAGCTTTTTCTGTTTTAAAGAAAATTTTATTTTGAATGAAAGAAAACAAGTCAAAGAAATTGGTCAATTTTTCTTTAAAATCAAACAAAAAAATTGTCATTTTCTTTGTGAAAAAAAAAATTTTCAAAAAATTTGAATTTAATTTTGCGAAATGATAATATTTGTAACACAAACTTGCGTGTACAAATTGAAAAGCAAATGCTCGTAAATATTTAAAAAAAAAAAAAACTATTTTCATAAAGATTGAAACCCGATCCATAAATCTCGAATTTTATGGCTTCGCTAAAGGTCAAGATCACTTTTCCTCTCGCCTAAAACGAATTCCCGCGGTACATATTATAATCGAAGTATTCCATGAATTTTGCTATTTTTGGTATCTGTTCTGATATATATTTTATTTCGCAAAAATTTTTTTTTATCTATTTGGAAGTAATTATTATTTCTCGAAAATCGTATCATTTTCCAAAATATTATTTTTCAAGTCCTTTTGAAATTTTCAAGGAATATATTAATAAATATATATTTTTACGACGAAGGCATTTTATGTTTTTCGAAAATGGAATGTAAAAAAAAAACTTACCCTTTAGTTCTAGAATCGTATTCCTGTGAATTGCACATCGAATTTCTGAAAATAGAAAAATTTTGTTAATAATTTAATAAATAACTAATAATTTAGTTAATAATTTTTTTTTTCATATTGAAAAATTGACAACGAGATAAAATTTGTTCACAAATAAGCAGTCAATTTTAGAAAAAAAAAATAAGATTTTGAGAATCAGAGGAAGATTTTTTTTTATTTTAATTTAAAATTAATTTATTTAATTTTAATTTAAAGAATTCTTTATGAACTCGCGACTTTTTCTCCGATGCTAATATATATATATATATTGGTAGCATCTGAAATCTGACTAATGGATTTCTTGCTGAACCTGCTCCTGACAATAATTATTATGCGAGCTGGTTTCTCTCAGCAGTGAAAATTGGGTTACTTAAGTGCGCGGGTGTCACACAGAATCTTCCCGAGTCCATTAAGCCAAATCAATCTCATTAGGTCATCAATCACACATTCATTCCCATGTATAGATATATAAATGCAATTCAATCACATCTGCTGTCAAACTAATCAATTATACAAATCTGACAAAAAAGTGATATAAAAAATTATTCTCTTCTTTAAAAATAATACATTAAAAATAATTTTATTTTAAAAAATTAAAACTGAAATTTATTTAACTCAAATAAATATTCAAATATAATTTTTGAGTCAATTAAATATGTCATTTGTTTCAAATACAAAAATTATTTGTACAAATACAAATTATTTAATTCAACTATATTTGGTTTCAAAAATTATATTTGACCCAAGTAAATATTTATTCGATTATCAACTGTAACCGATTTAAATAATTTTTTTTTTCTTCAAATTTAGAGTAAAAATATTATATATACTCTAATTTTAAGAATAAAACGAACAATTATTATTTTCAAAAAGAAACTAAATTCTTATTAGAATATAATTTTTATAGTTTCAAAAGGTAAGTCCCACGTGGGTGGATACGCACGAGTATATGCCCACACATACTTAAGTGCTACTTAATGGATTTCTGAATGTTACTAAAGTATATAAAGAGTTCATTTTCGCATGAATCTCGATCTTATATTACCGAGAGGAATCTCCCGACGTTTATTATTATTATTATTATTATTATTATATATATTTTTTTTTTTTTTGTGATATTTATCGACAACGTTCTCCCATTAACTGAATCCGCTTAAATTATGACGTCACTGTATGGACTCGATACACTGTCGATTTACTTGTGAGCGCACGTAAAGAACTCCTGAAGCTTATAATATGTACACTGTGCACTCATAATGTGGAAGCGATTTAACTTATTCGACATATTCTTGGAACGAGCGTGTAAGGTGCTCTTAAACCGATTGAAGTGATTTCAACCGAAAACAAATTCGATTCGATCAGTTTCGCTTGAAAATATTATATATGGAAATCAAATTTATATTTTATCGTCAATATATTGCTTTCCAATTTTTTTTTTTTCTTGTAACTATAATGTAAATTATAATGTATATATATGGTTATTGGAGAAAAGGGTCAATTGCTTTGTTTACAATCATGTTGATTTTTTCATATTCGATACTTTTCAGTGAAATACTGAAAGTAAGTGCAAATTTAACTGAAAGTTAGTAAGTTTAGTGAAAATTAATCAAAGTACACAGAAAGAAGGATTATTTACACTAAAGGTAAAATAATCTATACTAAAAGTAAAATAGTTTACTGAAAGGTAGTTAAAGTTTACTGAAAGTAAGTTCCAACTTTACTAAGAGTTAAGACAAAAATTTACTGACTATTAGTTAATGTTTACTGAAAGTAAGTTCCAACTTTACTAAGTGTTCGACAAAATTTGACGACTGTTAGTTAAAGTTTACTGAAACTAAGTTCCAACTTTGCTGAATGTTAGACAAATTTAATTAAAATTAGTCGAACTTTACTGAAAGTAAGATAATTTATATTAAAAGTCAATTAGTTTATTAAAAGGTCATTAAAGTTTACTTAAAGTAAGTCCCAACTGTACTAAGTGTTAGACAAACTTTGCTGACTGTTAGTTAAAGTTTACTGAAAGCAAGTCCCAATTTTAGTAAACGTTTAACAAATTTGGCTCACAGTTAGTTAAATTTTACTGAAACTAAGTCCAATCTTTATTGAAAGTTAGTAAATTTAATTAAAATTAGTCAAACTTATTATTAATGATTATTTCTACTGAAAGTAAGTTAATCTATACTGAAAGTCAATTAGTTTACTAGAAGGTAGTTCAAGTTTACTGAAAGTAAGTACAAATTTTACTGAATGTTAGTCAAGGTTTACTGAAAGTAAGATAATCTACACTGAAAGTAAAATAGTATACTAAAAAGTAGATAAAGTTTAATGAAAGTAAGTCCCAAAATTACTTAATCTATAGACAAACTAGATTACGGTTAGTTAAAGTTCACTGAAAGTAAGATAATCTATGCTGAAAATTAATTAGTTCACTAGAAGATAGTTTAAGTTTACTGAAATTAAGTCTCAAAATTACTGAGTGTTAGACAAACTTTGCTTACGATTAATTAAAGTTTACTGAAAGTAAGATAATCTTTGCTGAAAATTAATTAGTTTACTGGAAGGTAGTTAAAGTTTACTGAAATTAAGTCTCAAAATTACTGAGTGTTAGACAAACTTTGCTTACGATTAATTAAAGTCTACTGAAAGTAAGTCCCAACTTTACTGAAAGTTAGACCAACTTTGCTGACGGTTAGTTAAAGTTTGCTGAAAGTAAGTATATATACTCTGAAAGTTAGATAGTGTATACTGAAAGTCAATTAGTTTACTAAAACTTAGTTAAAGTTTACTGAAAGTAAGATTATATATTCTGAAAGTAAGAAAATTTATACTGTAAGTCAATTAGTTTACTAAAAAGTAATTAAAGTCTCCTGAAACTAAGTCCCAACTTTACTAAATGTTAGACAAACTTTGCTTACTTAGTTAAAGTTTACTGAAAGTAAGATCAACTATACTGAAACTAAGTCAGTAGGAGGAAAATTATTCAGATTCTTCAATCCTATTACCCTTATAAAAAAAAACATTTTTACAAATCAAAAATGTATACAATGAAAAAAAAACATAAATAAAATTATTTCCACTGTCTTTGCTCCAGTTATTAAAGAACCATATAAATATATATGAATGAAGGTGATTTCTTTTTTTTTTATTCTCACAGCGAGGTCATTAGCTCAGACAACGCGGTTGTTCTAGATCTTTGGACAAGAATTTTTCTTATAAGAATTTCTGATTGACAAAGAGAGCGCGCGCAGGAATTATAAACCACAACAACTATCGTGCAGCTTTCCCTCAAAGGAGGGGTCGTCGTCTTCGTCGTCGCTATCCATCTAAGGAAGCTTGCGACAGTGTTTAGTACATATATATATATAGGATTGGTATTTTTGCACGCACTTGGAACATCATTCGAGTCGTTTAAAGTTGCCTTGAACTTGATATCTAGGCTTTGCAGACATTCATTACTCATCATGTCACAAGACAAGATTCACTCTATCTCGTATAGGAACTTACAGATTATTTTACACTATATTAAAAAAAAAATAACAAAAATAAAAATCATATAAAATTTATCACTTTTAGATTTTTATTTTTTCTACATTTACAAGACATTTAATTTAATTTATCGTCAATAATTGTAATTTATGTAATTCACAATTTAGGAAAAAATAAAAAAAAAATTTTTGCAAAAATTTTATTCAAATGATTGGATAGATGGAAAATATAAAACACTCGGGACTTTCTTAATTTAAGATTGATGATTTGTGTTTATTAAAAATTTTATTTATATAACAAAATTTTTTTTATTTAAGTTAAATAAATGGGCTGAGACAAATATACGTTTATTTAACTGAAATATACTATAGTTGGTTTAAATAAAACATTTCTCTTAAAGTGATTTTGAATAATTAAAAAAAGAAGTTTTAATGAATCTAAATTATTAATAATTTCTTTTTGAATAATTGGTTATCCACTTGGAAAGATTTCCCGGAAATTGACCCCTGGAGGTTCTATCAGAATTCCGCCGGAACTTTCAACGTAATTCCGTCGGAATTCCATCGGAGTTCCAAAGAATTTCCGATGAGATTCTGACGGAATTCCGACGGAATTAGGACTTTAAAAATTTTGAAAAAAATTAATCGGAATTCCGTCAGAATTCCGTCGGAATCCCATCGGAAATTCTTTGGAACTCCCGATGGAATTCCGATGGAATTACGTTGGAAGTTCCGGCGGAATTCTGATAGAACCTCCAGGGGGCAAACATTTTTGTTTATTCTGGATTCATTTCCCACTTGGAAAGATTCCCCGGAAAGTGCCCCCTGGAGGTTCTATCAGAATTCCGCCGGAACTTTCAACGTAATTCCGTCGGAATTCCATCGGAGTTCCAAAGAATTTCCGATGGGATTCCGACGGAATTCCGATGGAATTAGGACTCTAAAAATTTTGAAAAAAAATTAATCGGAATTCCGTCGGAACCCCATCGCAAATTCTTTGGAACTCCCAATGGAATTCCGACGGAATTACGTTGAAAGTTCCGTCGGAATTCTGATAGAACCTCCAGGGGGCACTTTCAGGGGAATCATTCCAAGTGGGTTTGGTAATTTTTTTTTGGAATTTTACATGAATATTTGTTTAATATTAAAAGAAATTTCTATAGGTGGGCTTATGATTGAGAATCACTGACTTATTCGATAGGATCGCGTGGGATTAGACTGGTGAGTGGCGAACTCACTGATGAAGCTGATGAAATGATTGAGGAAATCTTTATATGACTGATGTGCCAGAGTGCAAAATAGCTCTCTGACATTCCAATTCATAGTCGATTCAAAAACATGAGGGTGGGAGGACTTATATATAGTTAGTACACAAAGCACGTACAAATCTACCCAATTGCAACCAACCGAGATTTATACACACAGATGGGAGAGGTGTGAATCATATCAATTTAGAGAGAAATTGCTCCAAACAGATTTCATTTCAAGATTTATATTAAAAATTTCCATAAGAAATTATTT